GGCGTCTGCATCCTCATCTAGGTGGGTCTTGGCGTCGTGCTCCGCAGATAGCCAATACATCAACTGGGTCAGCTGGTGCATGAACTGTCGCGCTACGATGGCAGGGTGCTGATTGCAGAGCTGGTTTGGTGACAGGCCGTCCCACGTGAACTTCACATCGGCCTGATAGCACTGCAGTATCTCTGCGGCTTGGCGCTCAAGCTCTTCCGGCGGCCTCTCGGGATGCAGCCGCAGCAGCCGGGCTGTGATGACAGCGATCAGGATGTCGGGTTGCCGGGCATGGCAGGAGAGCGTCATGAAAAACTTGGGCACGCCCAGTTGCTCATACATGCTTAGCGCAACGCCCTTCTTTGCGTAGACGTATGAGCTGGTGCCGGGGATGTCCCTCAGGGCTGTAAACACCTGACCTTTGCCCTCTTGGTACCTTGTCTTCCCACCCGGAGCCTGCTGGTTTCCGATCCTCACGTTGATGTTGCCCGAGAGACGCTTCTTGAGGTGCATTTCGAGAAGCCACATGATGTACGCCGGCGATGACTCGAAACGCGGGTCTGAGCTGAGAAGACGCTTGCGAGCGTACTGGGAGAAGCTACCATATGCATTCTGCCATCCGCCTGTGCCAGTGGAAAAGAGGTGCGGGAAGAACTTCACGTCCATGTCGTCCGTGAGCTCCGCCGTGCCCCGGACTTTCTGCAGCTCCAGGGTTGCTGCTCTAGGGGCTTTCAGCTCTTTGGGGATCAGGTACGTCATCTCTAGCTGGTCTTCCTTGTCTTCACTTGTCTCTACCGCATCTTCCGAGAGCTGCGCTTCGCCCCCCAAGGCCGGGGAGCGTGAGCCACCGGACTCCCCCGTTTGGCGCTCTTGGGGGGCTTCGTAGTTGGCGCTTGCCACTGCGCTTGTGCATGGCCGCTCTTTTCCAGCCAGGATGGCTTCCATTCTCGCCAATGCTCTGTCCACTGCCGTGCTTGCCTGGTAGAGTCGGTGCTTTGCTTTCAGCTCTTGCAAAGCCTTGTGCAAGCAGTCTAGACGAGCTGGGGAAGCGGTCTGACCCTGCACTCCTTCCACCAGGACGGTGCCGTCTTCCTCAAGTGTGGCTCCTTCCAGGACATCGCAGATGAAGGGGTCGTCCACCAGCACCGCGTACATTCTGCCCCATTGGGCACTTGGGCCACCCGAAGGTAGCTTGTCGAGCAACACTTGGGAGATTCGGGCCATGGCGATCAGGTGCTGCTCGATGGGCTGGAGAATCTGGAGTGCTTCGGGGATGGGCGGCAGGACCGGCAAAAGGATCTTGACAGTCTTTTCACGACAATTCTTGCACAACATCTTTCCTGTCGGTTTGGCCGGTCTGCAGTGCCTGCCTGTCGTGAGGATTCGGCATCCCTCACATATCCTGGACAATCCAAACCTTCCCCAGCTTCGGGTGAAGGCATGGTAGTGGGCCTGTGCACGTTCGGGACTCAGCACATCCTCATTTGGAAAAGGATAGCCTTGCTGCTGGAGCTCTGTTGCAACAGGCTTTGGCCCGCGGCTGCCCATGCCTTCCTCGGCCCTCTCGGCCTGCAGCTCACGCCTGTGTGTTCGATAGCTGTCTTCCTCAGGCTTGGGTCCGCGGCTGCCCACTCCCTCCTCCGCCCTTTCGGCCTGCAGCTCACGCCTGTGTGTTCGATGGCTGTCTTCCTGAGGCTTGGGTCCACGGCTGCCCACTCCCTCCTCCGCCCTTTCGGCCTGCAGCTCACGCCTGTGTGTTCGATGGCTGTTTTCTTCAGGCTTGGGTCCACGGCTGCCCACTCCCTCCTCCGCCCTCTCGGCCTGCAGCTCACGCCTGTGTGTTCGATGGCTGTCTTCCTGAGGCTTGGGTCCACGGCTGCCCACTCCCTCCTCCGCCCTTTCGGCCTGCAGCTCACGCCTCTGTGTCCGTCCACTTTCTTCTTCTTCTGGGCGTCCTCCTGAGCCAGGCTTGGGTCCACGGCTGCCCACTCCCTCCTCCGCCCTCACGGCCTGCAGCTCACGCCTCTGTGTCCGTCCACTTTCTTCTTCTTCTGGGCGTCCTCCTGAGCCAGGCTTGGGTCGACGGCTGCCCACTCCCTCCTCTGCCCTCGCGGCCTGCAGCTCACGCTTCTTTCCTCGCGTGCTCACTGCCGCAGGAACAGGTCCACGGCTGCCTGCTCCTTGCGCTGCTCGCTCTTGCTGTCGAGCCCTTTTCTCTGCGCTCTGCTGGGCTAACCGCTCTTCCTTTTCGGCTTGGCGGCATTGTGGGTTACTGCACCATCCCTGTCCTCGTCCACTCCTGTTTCCCACGCCGCATCGCTGGCAGGGTGCCATGGCAAATGCTAAACGGCTGAATCCGAAACAGTCTACAGTCTACAGTGCAACTCGTTGACAAACACAAGCTGCGCAGAGGCTGTAAAAGTTCAACAACGGATCAACGGAGGTTGCAAGATTTCGCAGAAGAAGGTAGGTGTGTGTGTGTGTGTGTGTGTGTGTGTGTGTGTGTGTGTGTGTGTCTGCCATTGCTCAGCAGGAGCCCTGATATGTGCAGATATGGTTTTCTTCCACGTTGTTTGGAGCAGTGACTCGGCAGTCAGACGGCGTTTTTCACGCTCAGCCTGTACAACGGATCAAATTTGCGTGCTGAAAACGATTTGCACACAGCTTCTTCGCGCAAAGGTCCACGGCTGCCTGCTTCCTCCTCTGCTTCTGCCCGCGCCCTTGCCTCATGCAGCTTTCGGCGCTCTTCCTCTTTGCTGTCTTCTTCGCGCAAAGGTCCACGGCTGCCTGCTCCCTCCTCTGCTTCTGCCCGCGCCCTTGCCTCATGCAGCTTTCGGCGCTCTTCCTCTTTGCTGTCTTCTTCGCGCAGAGGTCCACGACGGCCTGCTTCCTCCTCTGCCTTTGCCCGCGCCCTTGCCTCACGCAGCTGTCGGCGCTCTTCCTCTTTGCTGTCTTCTTCGCGCAGAGGTCCACGACGGCCTGCTTCCTCCTCTGCCTTTGCCCGCGCCCTTGCCTCACGCAGCTGTCGGCGCTCTTCCTCTTTGCTGTCTTCTTCGCGCAAGGGTCCACGACTTCCCGCTTCCTGCGCCGAACGCTGTTGTTGCCGAGCTCTTTTCTCTGCATTCTTGTGGCCCAGGTTCTCTTCTTGTTCGGCTTGGCGGCATTGCGGATTGCTGCACCATCCTTGTCCTCTGCCCCTCCTTATCCCCAAGCTGCATCGATGGCAAGGGGCCATGGCAACGAATTGTGAATCTACAGTTCTCTGTTTCAGCTACAGGGCTGTATCCGAAACGCTGCGAGCAAGCTCGGTGAATGAGCTGTAGAAGCCAATGATCAAGCACTTGCAAAGCTGCTCTGCCTTTGCGTGCTGTTCATTTTCTTGCTCGTGGCTCGCACTGGGACTCTGCAGGTACGCCTTGCTCTAACACAACGTGGTCACACGTGCAGCTCTATGGGTCTGTGGCTTTCTCTGACATGTAGACAACTTGCACGTGGACGATGTTGTTGCCGAAGCTACGATCACTACGATCCGAGAGTTCACGCCAGCTCCAGGCGTCCGTGATCACGTCTCCACCCACAACCAGCTTCGTGGTGTCGAGGGGGATGGGTCCTGTAGGACCGCTGTCCAAATCGTGAAGCAAGACTTCCCTGGCGCTGCGATATTGCAGCGTTTCTGCCGGGATAGGCTTCTTTGTTTCTTGTCGTCTGTGACGTAGTTGGTGCAGAGAGAGACAGCGATCTGGGTTGTTTCCTTCGTGCAAAGTGTGCAGCCAGGCTTCCTGGAAAGATTCACACGGTTCGACGTGCCAGAGCGGATAAGGCTTCGAGGTGTGGATTTCGCTACCTTGCATGTTCAGGAACTTCACCGTCATGTTGGCGAGAGGCTCTCCATTCTGGAACTCCATTGCTTTGTTCCACTCTTCTCTCTCATGTTCATCTTCCACTTTGCTGCCTTCTTCGCGCAAAGGTCCACGGCTGCCTGCTTGCTCCTCTGCCTCTGCCTGCACCCTGCGCAAGGGTCCACGACTTCCCGCTCCCTGCGACGCTCGCTGTTGTTGTCGAGCAGTTTTATCTGCACTCTTCTGGGCCAGGCGCTCTTCTTTTTCGGCTTGGCGGCACTGCGGATTGCTGCACCATCCTTGTCCTCTGCCGCTCCTTGTCCCCACGCCGCACCGATGACAAGGGGCCATGGAAACGAATTGCAAATCTACAGCTCTCTGTTTGAAATTTGCGTGCTCCATTCAGAAGGTCGAGCCAAGCCCAGGCGTCGGTGATCGTGTCGTTCCGCAAACTAGCTTGGTCATTTCAAAGTGTATTGGGCCCGCAGAAGCAGAAACAACAACATCGCAAGGTGGCCTTGTTCTCCTCGAAGCACGCCCGGCGTCTGGTCAGGCTGAGAATACACGTCTGGCTCACCATTCAAGTGAGAAGGCAAACACGCCTGAGGCTGCGCCTCATGGTGCCAATTCATTGTGGATAACACCCCCAGCCGCCGCTAAGACCTTGCCCCACTTAGTCAGATTGGGGATAAGGCGAATTGCCGAGGTTGAGAATAAGGCCCTGGCCTGCGCTACTCCAGGCGTTCGTCATCACGTCCCTGTCCAAAACCAGGTTTGGGGCATCGAGGTGGCTCGGTCCTGCGGAACTGCTGTCGAACGTCCAAGCTAACCTCTAGTTCAAGACATATCATCCGGAGTTTACAGATCGGCCCATGAGCTGAGGTAAGGACATCACGTTTCCTGTGGGTCAACATCATGGTGTGAGAGGTCTCATTTCCAAACATGCTCTGCACGGCTGGGGCCTGCAGGACATCCAAGAGCTTGAGCGACGAAGGCTGCCTGCTCCAACTAGCTTGAACCAAATATTGCTACGCGGGGCACCAGCTTGCGCGTGCTTGATGCCGCCGGCTGCTCTCGTTGCAGCGGACGCACAGACTAGCGACTCGACAAGCCACGGTCTTGTAAAGGCCACGAGAAGCATCTTATTTTCCTGTTACCTGCGCAGCGCATGGTATGTCTTCATGGCTGCTGGGTGTCCTGCGCGGTGACGATGTCCCATAACTCATCGGAGAGGACCAACGTGTCCAGTGGGGTTGGCTCCCCATCCAAGACTGTGCATACTTCTTGGTTCCGGCTCTGCAGACGGCCTTGGGCTGCCGCTGCTATAGTAGCGGATGTAGGAAGCATCTCCTGCGAATGGCTTGACATGCTGGCGCCTGCTCCCTATTCAGGTTGAGGATAAGCAAACGTGGCGGCTGCGCCTCATTCTGGTTGAGGATAAGGACCTGGCCCCTATTCAGGTTGAGGATAAGCAAGCGTGGCGGCTGCGCCTCATTCTGGTTGAGGATAAGGACCTGGCCCCCATTCAGGTTGAGGATAAGCAAATGTGGCGGCTGCGCCTCATTCTGGTTGAGGATAAGGACCTGGCCCCCCATTCACAGGTTGAGGATCAACAAACATGGCGGCTGCGCCTCATTCTGGTTGAGGATAAGGACCTGGCCCCCATTCATAAGCAAGCGTGGCGGCTGCGCCTCATTCTGGTTGAGGATAAGGACCTGGCCGCCATTCAGGTTAAACGCGGCGGCTGCGCCTCATTCTGGTTGAGGATAAGGACCTGGCCCCCATTCACAGGTTGAGGATAAGCAAACGTGGCGGCTGCGCCTCATTCTGGTTGAGGAAAAGGACCTGGCCCCCATTCAGGTTGAGGATAAGCAAACGTGGCGGCTGAGTTGAGGATAAGGACCTGGCCCCCGTTCACAGGTTGTGAGGATAAGCAAACGTGGCGGCTGCGCCTCATTCTGGTTGAGAGGATAAGGACCTGGCCCCATTCACAGGTTGAGGATAAGCAAACGTGGCGGCTGCGCCGGACCTGGCCCGCGGTGCAAACGTGGCGGCTGCGCCTCATTCTGGTTGAGGATAAGGACCTGGCCCCCTTTTCGGTTGGGAATAAGCAAACGTGGCGGCTGCGCCTCATTCTGGTTGAGGATAAGGACCTGGCCCATTCACAGGTTGAGGATAAACAAACGTGGCGGCTGCGCCACATTCTGGTTGAGGACAAGGACCTGCTCCCTATTCAGGTTAAGGATAAGCAAACGTGGCGGCTGCGCATCATTGTGGTTGAGGATAAGGACCTTTGGTTGAGGATAAGGACCTGGCCCCCATTCAGGCTGGGGATAAGAAAACGTGGCGGCTGCGCCTCCCATTCAGGTTGAGGATAATAAGCAAGCGTGGCGGCTGCGCCTCGTTCTGGTTGAGGGTAAGGACCTGGCCCCTATTCAGGTTGAGGATAAGCAAACGTGGCGGCTGCGCTTCATTCTGGTTGAGAGGACCTGGCCCCCATTCAGGTTGGGGATAAGCAAACGTGGCGGCTGCGCCTCATTCTGGTTCAGGATAAGGACCTGGCCCCCATTCAGGTTGAGGATAAGCAAGCGTGGCAGCTGCGCCTCATTCTGGTTGAGGATAAGGACCTGGGCCCCATTCAGGTTGAGGATAAGCAAACGTGGCGGCTGCGCCTCATTCTGGTTGAGGATAAGGACCTGGTCCCCTATTCAGGTTGAGGATAAGCAAACGTGGCGGCTGCGCCTCATTCTGGTTGAGGATAAGGACCTGGCCCCCCGTTCACAGGTTGAGGATAAGCAAGCGTGGCGGCTGCGCCTCATTCTGGTTGAGGATAAGGACCTGGCCCCTATTCAGGTTGAGGACAAGCAAGCGTGGCGGCTGCGCCTCATTCTGGTTGATGGCCCCTATTCAGGTTGAGGATAAGCAAACGTGGCGGCTGCGCCTCATTCTGGTTGAGGATAAGGACCTGGCCCCCCATTCACAGATTGAGAATAAGCAAACGTGGCGGCTGCGCCTCATTCTGGTTGAGGATAAGGACCTGGCCCCCCATTCACAGATTGAGGATAAGCAAACGTGGCGGCTGCGCCGGAACTGGCCCCCATGCAGGTTGGCTAAGCAAACATGGCGGCTGCGCCTCAGCCTCAGGAGAAGGACCTGGCCCCCATTCAGGTTGGGGATAAGAAAACGTGGCGGCTGGCCTCATTCTGGTTGAGGATAAGGACCTGGCCCCCATTCAGGTTGAGGATCAGCAAACGTGGCGGCTGTGCCTCATTCTGAGGAAAAGGACCTGGCCCCCATTCAGGTTGTGGATAAGCAAACGTGGCGGCTGCGCCTCATTCTGGTTGAGGATAAGGACCTGGCCCCCATTCAGGTTGAGGATAAGCAAACGTGGCGGCTGTGCCTCATTCTGGTTGAGGGTAAGGACCTGGCCCCTATTCAGGTTGAGCATAAGCAAACGCGGCGGTTGCGCCTCATTCTGGTTGAGGATAAGGACCTGGCCCCCATTCAGGTTGGGGATAAGCAAACGTGGCGGCTGCGCCTCATTCTGGTTGAGGATAAGGACCTGGCCCCCATTCAGGTTGAGGATAAGCAAGCGTGGCGGCTGCGCCTCATTCTTGTTAAGGATAAGGACCTGGGCCCCATTCAGGTTGAGGATAAGCGAGCGTGGCGGCTGCGCCTCATTCTGGTTGTCGTCCTGGTTGAGGATAAGGACCTGGCCGTCATTCACAGGTTGAGGATAAGCAAATGTGGCGGCTGCGCCTCATTCTGGTTCAGGATAAGGACCTGGCCCCCATTCAGGTTGAGGATAAGCAAGCGTGGCAGCTGCGCCTCATTCTGGTTGAGGATAAGGAACTCCTGGCCCCTATTCAGGTCGAGGGTAAGCAAACGTGGCGGCTGCGCCTCATTCTGGTTGAGGATAAGGAACTCCTGGCCCCTATTCAGGTCGAGGGTAAGCAAACGTGACGGCTGCGCCTCGTCCTGGTTGAGGATAAGGACCTGGCCCCCGTTCACAGGTTGAGGATAAGCAAGCGTGGCGGCTGCGCCTCATTCTGGTTGAGGATAAGGACCTGGCCCCTATTCAGGTTGAGGATAAGCAAGCGTGGCGGCTGCGCCTCATTCTGGTTGAGGATAAGGACCTGGCCGCCATCCAGGTTGAGGATAAGCAAACGTGGCGGCTGCGCCTCATTCTGGTTGAGGACAAGGACCTGGCCCCCATTCACAGGTTGAGGATAAGCAAACGTGGCGGCTGCGCCTCATTCTGGTTGAGGACAAGGACCTGGCCCCCATTCACAGGTTGAGGATAAGCAAACGTGGCGGCTGGCCGGAACTGGCCCCCATGCAGGTTGAGGATAAGCAAACGTGGCGGCTGCGCCTCATTCAGGAGAAGGACCTGGCCCCCATTCAGGTTGGGGATAAGAAAACGTGGCGGCTGCGCCTCATTCTGGTTGAGGATAAGGACCTGGCCCCCATTCAGGTTGAGGATAAGCAAACGTGGCGGCTGTGCCTCATTCTGAGGAAAAGGACCTGGCCCCCATTCAGGTTGGGGATAAGCAAACGTGGCGGCTGCGCCTCAATTCTGGTTGAGGATAAGGACCTGGCCCCCATTCAGGTTGAGGATAAGCAAACGTGGCGGCTGCGCCTCATTCTGGTTGAGGATAAGGACCTGGCCGCCATCCAGGTTGAGGATAAGCAAACGTGGCGGCTGCGCCTCATTCTGGTTGAGGATAAGGACCTGGCCCCATTCAGGTTGAGTATAAGCAAACGTGGCGGCTGCGCCTCATTCTGGTTGAGGATAAGGACCTGGCCCCTATTCAGGTTGAGGATAAGCAAACGTGGCGGCTGCGCCTTGTCCCGGTTGAGGATAAGGACCTGGCCCCCGTTCACAGGTTGAGGATAAGCAAGCGTGGCGGCTGCGCCTCATTCTGGTTGAGGATAAGGACCTGGGCCCCTATTCAGGTTGAGGATAAGCAAACGTGGCGGCTGCGCCTCATTCTGGTTGAGGATAAGGACCTGGCCCCTATCAGGTTGAGGATAAGCAAACGTGGCGGCTGCGCCTCATTCTGGTTGAGGGTAAGGACCTAGCCCCTATTCAGGTTGAGGATAAGCAAACGTGGCGGCTACGCCTCGTCCTGGTTGAGGATAAGGACCTGGCCGTCATTCACAGGTTGAGGATAAGCAAATGTGGCGGCTGCGCCTCATTCTGGTTCAGGATAAGGACCTGGCCCCCATTCAGGTTGAGGATAAGCAAGCGTGGCAGCTGTGCCTCATTCTGGTTGAGGATAAGGACCTGGGCCCCATTCAGGTTGAGGATAAGCAAACGTCACGCCTCATTCTGGTTGAGGATAAGGACCTGGCCCCGATTCAGGTCGAGGGTAAGCAAACGTGACGGCCGCGCTTCGTCCTGGTTGAGGATAACGACCTGGCCCCCCGTTCACAGGTCGAGGATAAGCAAGCGCGGCGGCTGCGCCTCATTCTGGTTGAGGATAAGGACCTGGGTTGAGGATAAGCAAGCGTGGCGGCTGCGCCTCATTCTGGTTGAGGATAAGGACCTGGCTGCCATCCAGGTTGAGGATAAGCAAACGTGGCGGCTGCGCCTCATTCTGGTTGAGGATAAGGACCTGGCCCCCATTCACAGATTGAGGATAAGCAAACGTGGCGGCTGCGCCTCTTTCTGGTTGAGGATAAGGACCTGGCCCATTCACAGGTTGAGGATAAGCAAACGTGGCGGCTGTGCCTCATTCTAAGGAAAAGGACCTGGCCCCCATTCAGGTTGGGGATAAGCAAACGTGGCGGCTGCGCCTCATTCTGGTTGAGGATAAGGACCTGGCCCCCATTCAGGTTGAGGATAAGCAAACGTGGCGGCTGCGCCTCATTCTGGTTGAGGATAAGGACCTGGCCCCCATTCAGGCTGGGGATAAGCAAACGTGGCGGCTGCGCCTCATTCTGGTTGAGGATAAGGACCTGGCCCCCATTCAGGTTGAGGATAAGCAAGCGCGGCGGCTGCTCCTCATTCTGGTTGAGGATAAGGACCTGGCCCCATTCAGGTTGAGGATAAGCAAACGTGGCGGCTGCGCCTCGTCCCGGTTGAGGATAAGGACCTGGCCCCCCGTTCACAGGTTGAGGATAAGCAAGCGTGGCGGCTGCGCCTCATTCTGGTTGAGGATAAGGACCTGGCCCCTATTCAGGTTGAGGATAAGCAAGCGTGGCGGCTGCGCCTCATTCTGAGGATAAGGACCTGGCCCCCATGCAGGTTGGGGATAAGCAAACGTGGCGGCTGCGCCTCATTCTGGTTGAGGATAAGGACCTGGCCCCCATTCACAGATTGAGGATAAGCAAACGTGGCGGCTGCGCCTCATTCTGGTTGAGGATAAGGACCTGGCCCATTCACAGGTTGTGAGGATAAGCAAACGTGGCGGCTGCGCCGGAACTGGCCCTCATGCAGGTTGGGTAAGCAAACGTGGCGGCTGCGCCTCATTCTCAGGAGAAGGACCTGGCCCCCATTCAGGTTGGGGATAAGAAAACGTGGCGGTTGCGCCTCATTCTGGTTGAGGATAAGGACCTGGCCCCCATTCAGGTTGAGGATAAGCAAACGTGGCGGCTGTGCCTCATTCTGAGGAAAAGGACCTGGCCCCCATTCAGGTTGGGGATAAGCAAACGTGGCGGCTGCGCCTCATTCTGGTTGAGGATAAGGACCTGGCCCCCATTCAAGTTGAGGATAAGCAAACGTGGCGGCTGCGCCTCATTCTGGTTGAGGGTAAGGACCTGGCCCCTATTTAGGTTGAGGATAAGAAAACGTGGCGGTTGCGCCTCATTCTGGTGCAGGATAAGGACCTGGCCCCGATTCAGGTTGGGGATAAGCAAACGCGGCGGCTGCGCCTCATTCTGGTTCAGGATAAGGACCTGGCCCCCATTCAGGTTGAGGATAAGCAAGCGTGGCGGCTGCACCCCATTCAGGTTGAGGATAAGCAGCTGGGCCCATTCAGGTTGAGGATAAGCAAGCGTGGCGGCTGCACCCTATTCAGGTTGAGGATAGGCACCTGGCGCAGACGTGACAGGTTGAGGATAAGCAATTGTGGCGGCTGCACCCCGTTCAGGTTGAGGATAAGCACCTGGGCCCCATTCAGGTTGAGAATAAGCAATCGTGGCGGCTGCACCCCATTCAGGTTGAGGACAAGCACCTGGCCCCCATGGCCCCCATTCAGGTTGAGGATAAGCAAGCGCGGCGGCTGCACCCCATTCAGGTTGAGGATAAGCACCTGGGACAAACGTGGCGGCCGAACGTGGCGGCTGCACACCTTTCTGATTGAGGATATAAGGACCTGGCCCCCATTCAGGTTGAGGATAAGCAAACGTGGCGGCTGCGCCTCATTCTGGTTGAGGATAAGGACCTGGCCCCCATTCAGGTTGGGGATAAGCAAACGTGGCGGCTGCGCCCCATTCTGGTTGAGGATAAGGACCTGGCCCCCATTCAGGTTGGGGATAAGCAATCGTGGCGGCTGCGCCTCATTCTGAGGATAAGGACCTGTCCCCCATTCAGGTTGGGGATAAGCAAACCTGGCGGCTGCGCCCCATTCTGGTTGAGGATAAGGACCTGGCCCCCATTAAGGTTGGGGATAAGCAAACGTGGCGGCTGCGCCTCATTCTGAGGATAAGGACCTGGCCCCCATTCAGGTTGGGGATAAGCAAACGTGGCGGCTGCGCCTCACCTGGCCCCCACTCAGGTTAGGATAAGCAAGCATAGCGGCTGCACCTCATACAGGTTGAGGACACCTGCCCCCCAGTCAGGCACGGCTGCGCCTCATTCCGGTTGATGATAAGCACCTGGCGCCCACACAGGTGGATAAGCTGACGCGGCGCTGGGATCCGTAAACGTGGCGGCTGCGCCCCATTCCGGTTGAGGATAGGTACCTGGCACCCACACAGGTGGACAAGCAGACGTGGCGCTGGGATCCGTAAGCGTGGCGGCTGCACCCCAAACAGGTTGAGGATAGGCACCTGCCGCCCACACAGGTGCCCTCCCATTCAGGTTGAGGAGAAGCAAACGTGGTGGCTGGGAGAAGCAAACATGGCGGCTGCACTCTGTTCTTGTTGAGGATAAGCAGAGGATAAGCAAACGTGGTGGCTGGGAGAAGCAAACGTGGCGGCTGCGCCCTGTTCTTGTTGGGGATAAGCACCTGGCGCCCACGCAGGTGCAGGATGAGCAAACGTGGTGACTGAGATAAACAAACGTGGCGGCTGCACCCTGTTCTTGTTGAGGATAAGCACCTGGCGCCCACGCAGGTGCAGGATAAGCAAACGTGGCCATTCAGGTGCAGGCCTTCATGCCTGGCCATTTCCCAAAACAAGATGTATCTGGTTCTTTTTGTTCAGGCTCCCGGCTGGTGCCCGTCGCTGTGCTACAGGTGAAACCGGGCGAGCCAAGCAACTCATGTGAAAGTGGAGTAGTCCATCCTGTTTCACGCGAAACCCTTCTCGTACTCTTGACGGCTCTTGGCAATGATAGGTTCACTCACGCGAGGCTGAATGCGACAGCACGCGATGCAACTTCACATTGGCAGGGCATGGCCCCCATTCAGGTTGAGGATAAGCAAGCGTGGCGGCTGCACCCCGTTGAGGTTGAGGATAAGCACCTGGGCCGCATTCAGGTTGAGGATAAGCAATCGTGGCGGCTGCACCCCATTCAGGTTGAGGACAAGCACCTGGCCCCCATGGCCCCCATTCAGGTTGAGGATAAGCAAGCGTGGCGGCTGCACCCCGTTCAGGTTGAGGATGGCACCTGGGCCCCATTCAGGTTGAGGATAAGCAATCGTGGCGGCTGCACCCGATTCAGGTTGAGGACAAGCACCTGGCCCCCATGGCCCCCATTCAGGTTGAGGATAAGCAAGCGTGGCACCCCGTTCAGGTTGAGGATAAGCACCTGGGCCGCATGCAGGTTGAGGATAAGCAATCGTGCTGCACCCCATTCAGGTTGAGGACAAGCACCTGGCCCCCATGGCCCCCATTCAGGTTAAGGATAAGCAAGCGTGGCGGCTGCACCCCGTTCAGGTTGAGAATAAGCACCTGGGCCGCATGCAGGTTGAGGATAAGCAATCGTGGCGGCTGCACCCCATTCAGGTTGAGGACAAGCACCTGGCCCCCATGGCCCCCATTCAGGTTGAGGATAAGCAAGCGTGGCGGCTGCACCCCGTTCAGGTTGAGGATAAGCACCTGGGCCGCATTCAGGTTGAGGATAAGCAATCGTGGCGGCTGCACCCCATTCAGGTTGAGGACAAGCACCTGGCCCCCTATGGCCCCCATTCAGGTTGAGGATAAGCAAGCGTGGCGGCTGCACCCCGTTCAGGTTGAGGATAAGCACCTGGGCGCCATTCAGGTTGAGGATAAGCAAGGCTGCACCCCATGCAGGTTGAGGACAAGCACCTGGCCTTCATGGCCCCCATGGCCCCCATTCAGGTTGAGGATAAGCAAGCGTGGCGGCTGCACCCCGTTCAGGTTGAGGATGGCCCCATTCAGGTTGAGGATAAGCAAGCGTGGCGGCTGCACCCCATTCAGGTTGAGGACAAGCACCTGGCCCCCATGGCCCCCATTCAGGTTGAGGATAAGCAAGCGTGGCGGCTGCACCCCGTTCAGGTTGAGGATAAGCACCTGGGCCGCATTCAGGTTGAGGATAAGCAATCGTGGCGGCTGCACCCCATTCAGGTTGAGGACAAGCACCTGGCCCCCATGGCCCCCATTCAGGTTGAGGATAAGCAAGCGTGGCGGCTGCACCCCGTTCAGGTTGAGGATAAGCACCTGGGCCCCATTCAGGTTGAGGATAAGCAAGCGTGGCGGCTGCACCCCATTCAGGTTGAGGATAAACACCTGGCCCCCATGGCCCCCATTCAGGTTGAGGATAAGCAAGCGTGGCGGCTGCACCCCGTTCAGGTTGAGGATAAGCACCTGGGCCCCATTCAGGTTGAGGATAAGCAAGCGCGGCGGCTGCACCCCATTCAGGTTGAGGACAAGCACCTGGCCCCATGGCCCCCATTCAGGTTGAGGAGAAGCAAGCGTGGCGGCTGCACCCCGTTCAGGTTGAGGATAAGCACCTGGGCCCCATTCAGGTTGAGGATAAGCAAGCGTGGCGGCTGCACCCCATTCAGGTTGAGGACAAGCACCTGGCCCCCAAGGCCCCCATTCAGGTTGAGGATAAGCAAGCGTGGCGGCTGCACCCCGTTCAGGTTGAGGATAAGCACCTAGGCCCCATTCAGGTTGAGGATAAGC